ATCCAAGGAATACTCGAATGAGAAGGTTTTTTATTTTAGTTTTTGATTCCCGAGTTGGAGGTGAGGGGAGTGGAACATTCGTTATTTATCGAATGAGTTGTATTTTTCAGTTAGATGTCCGGCCTCGCGCCCTGGGCTTCTTTTTGCCGAAAGTGGGCACGATGCAGGTAGCATACCAACAGGGCCACAGGGTTATTTTCCACTCGACTTTGGCACTCTCGTCCACCTTCGACCTCCCCAGAATATAGCTCTCCTCCCACTTCTTGTACTTTTGATACATCTGCAATGCGCCAGATAGCGCATACAGTGGCCTGTGGCCTCTCTCTAGCTCTTTTAGCCCTCCCGGCTGCGTGGCACATCAAAGCAAGGAACTCGGGCACCCTCATCTTTATATTCTGGGCTTTTCTGGGGAACCTCGTCTTTCTCATCAACAATATCGTCTGGAACGGCAATATCCAGAACCCCGCTCCCGTCTGGTGCGATATATGTACGTGCAACATCCCTCTCCCCACGAAAAACCACTGTCGCCCTTGACTCGTGCTCACGTTACCCCCATAACAGCGAGCAAACTACTCATTGGGTTCAATGTTGCTTTACCGTGTGCATCGCTGTGCATCCAGCGTAGACTGTACAACATTACGCGCGTCAACCAGGTAGCGCCGACAGCGGCTCAGGTGCGCCATTCTCCTCTCGTCGATCCCACTACAACAATACTCATTCGATGTTTTTTAGAGACGTATGGATATATACATTGATCTTGCTATTGGAATTGGGATACCAGTCCTAATGATGGCTCTGCGTCAGTATCTCTTTTCATCCCCCCAATCAAGGAGCGAGGATGCCCCTTCCACCGGGCCACCCAACCTACCCCCACTCGTACCACTTTTTGCGAACGCGCTTATTTACGGTGTTACAGATGTAATCGTTCAACCTTATCGATTCAACATCATTGAAGATTACGGGTGTTGGCCGGTGATCTATCCTTCGGTGGCAGCGTACGTGATGATCTTGCCCTGGCCATGGGCTGTCTCGGCCATTTCGATCGTCTACTCGTGTAAGCCTCCCATCCCCAACATCCCCACAAAACCGAATCACTAATTAGGCGTTGTGTAGGCCTCACGATTCGTGCATTTTTGAAACGCCGTTCAACGTTCAACGAGCTTCTCAAGAACCAAGGTGGTGGGCTCAACGTACACCGCTACATCCGTCTCATGGCGCTCGCCTCCATCGAAGTCCTCTTTGTCTTCCCAATGTCCCTCCTCCTCTTCATCCGCAATATCCAACTCTCCCCTCCTCTCCCTTATCCCTCTTGGGCCTACGTGCACGCCAACTTTGGGCGCGTAGTCTACACCACGCGATTCATTCTCGGGTTACAACATGATGGAATCGTGTTGATGGAACTGTCGAGGTGGTGCATGCCTGTTACGGCGTTCATGTTTTTCATATTCTTTGGATTGGCGAGCGAAGCGAGAAAGCAGTACAAGCTCGCGGCAAATGCAGCCCTCAAGACATTCGGATTCCGGGACGCATTCCAGGTCAATAACGATAGCAAACACGCCTCGTGAGTTCTTTTTTTGTTTTCGTCGTCACAGCCTTTCGTCCACACGTGATCCCCAAACACGCGTTTTCCTCACCTTTCTACCATTTCCCTAACCTTTTTTGCCTTTCCTCCCTTCTTCTCTATTTTTACCTTTCGATCACT